GGTCGGTGTGTGCCCCCCCCCCCGCCCCCCCCCCCCCAAAGAAGCTGTTCTACCACGGCAACCTTTCTTTATTTCTTTCTCTCTTCTACCGTCGGTTGCTTTCGCAGCATGTCTTTCTTCCACCGCCACGTCTCTCCCCGGAACAACCACGAGTATATGGTTGTGTTCCTCGGTAACCTGGGATGGTGAACCGCGTCGTTTACTGCACTTACCTGGCTTGGTCCTCTCTCTTTGTCTGTCATCACCGTCCTCGCCGCCGTCAACACCTTGACCCCTGGGGCTTTCTCCTTGATTCTGGCTTGTTTTCTGCGCTTATCGCGTCCGGAAACGAAAGGGCGAGGCGTTTCTAGAAGGGAGCAAAGCGTCCGAGACGGCAATTTCTTTCCTTCCTTTTCTTATTTGCCACTTATTTTTCCTTTACTCACCAGTGCACCCACCTGTCCCCCCGCCGGCCATATATAGGAGAGAGGACGAAAAAGGGGGCGGAGAAGAAGACGGGACCAAGGCGGGATGTGCCGGGCCGATGAAGGACGGGACAGGAGGCCAAGACTGCGGGGGGGGTCGAGGTCGACTGGCACTGTATGTACCTAGAGGTTGAATACCTTGCCACACGAACGAAAATGCAATTTACATGAACATGCTCGAGCGGGAAGATTTGGCAGGAGCAAAAGTGAAAATGGTCAACAACAAAAAAAAAAAAGGTGATGCTTTGGATATTTGCCGATGCAGGTCAGTCGTTTTCAGATTGCGCCAGGATACCGAGTGCACGAAAGAATGTGCCAAGCGAGTTTATGCATATTGAGATGACGCCACGCGTATAAAGACGGAACACGATGCCTTTCAGGAGGAACAAGAGTGGAACAAAAAAAAAAGCCTTCTCCCGTCGGCTCAGGCTTTCTTGGTCCTCCTCGTAGCACCACCGCCGTCATCACCCGCGCCAGAAGCATCACCGCCGCCGTCTGCGGCGGCATCATCGACAACCTTGACGCCTCCGGCGGCGGCAGCGACCTCTGCGGCGCGCACGCGCCTCCGCTCCTCCCACTTCTCCCAGCCGGCCTGGCATAAGTCCTCCTCAACGACGAGGTCGCGTAGGCGCAGCAGGCGGGCGGCGGGCAGGCCGACGGCCCAGCCGAGCAGGCCGCAGGAGCGGGCGGCGGCCGTGAGCGCGAACCAGGCGGCGGCGCTGGCGAGCCCCGCGGCCAGGCCGACCAGGACCTGGCGCGTTGTGTGGTAGCCCAGGTAGACGCGGCTCCAGGCCACGAGGCCGGCGAGCCCAAAGGCCACGGCCGACGCGGCCAGCCGCTCGGGCACCGACCACGGCCGGTGCGGGTAGCGGTCGACACCGTATAGCTCCTGCAGGTCGCTCTGGGCCTGCTGCCACCGCTCCCAGGCCACGGCGGCCGCCGTGGCCGAGGCGGGAGGGGTTTTGGCTGCTGCTGCTGCTGCTGCTGCTGCTATCGCCGTATTCTTGTCTTCCTCCGCCGTCGCCGTCGTCTCATTCCCTCCACCTTGGCTACCCATGTTCTTGCCGCCCTTGGCGGTAGAAACAGCAGCAGCGCTGTTGCGGGGCCGGTGCCTGACGAGCAGGAAAAGGGCGAGGCTGAGGGCCCAGAAGGCGACGAACTGGGCGTGCGACGAGGGCATGCCGTAGCCCTTGCCGTGGATGCGGCGCGGCCTCTCCTCCTTGATGAGGCGCTTGAGGGCAAAGTTGACGGCCTCGCAGGCGAGCTGGCCGGCGAACATGAGGGCGACCTCGGCCTCGCGCGAGGACCAGATCAGGGTGGCGTAGACGACGCAGAGCGCCTGGGGCACCAGGGCCAGCCAGGCACAGACGTACGAGACAGGGTCGGAGGGGTCCTGGTTGTTGGTTTGGGTTTGATTGGACGTTGGCGAAAACGTCAGCACAGCACAGCACAGCACGTAATACGCGGGAGAGAGAGGAAGGTGGGTGGGGGTGGGCGGGCTCGGCTCGCTCCTTTGGCTGCCCGCATCTTGGCTTCGGGGCGGCTGCGAGGCTTTGCTGCGTCGTGTTTCGCGGGCGGCGGCATTGCAGGCTGAGGTGCAGATGCAAGGTACGCTGCAGGCCAACTCACATAGTAGACGTGCGTCAGGGAGAGCGAGGCGAGGGGCGCCGTGTCTGCGGCCATGGCCAGAGCTTGGGGGGATTTTCAAGGGAACGGGGCGGCAGGAAGGATTCGAGGCTGCATGAGCGGACGCAGGCAGGGCTGTGAACCAATATACTGCCCAGGTATCAGACACCAGCCCTGCAGCTGCCTTGGGAAAAACACAGGAGGAAGAGGTCGGTCGCCCTTGTTGTCGCCAGAGAGGGTATTGAGGCGGTTTGTGTCGAGGCCAGCTGAGCGATGCAGCTGATCGATGCAAGCTGCGTGACGTTGTGTTTCAGGTTTCAGGTTCCAATCCAGGCGGACCAGGGTCGATTTGCATGTGCTATGTCATCCTGTGGCGCCTGGATTGTGGCGGTGCGTAGACAGGCACTTGTGGCGCCAGCCTGCTCCCAGCTAGCTACACCTGTCAGACTATTGAAGAGAGAAAACAACTAAAAAGTAGATCAATAAAGTAAACACGGCCTTGTAGCATTGAAACATCACTCTCGCAGCCCCAACTCCTAGGCGTCCGCCTCTCCATTCTCAGAAGCCGCCTGTGTGCTGCCGCCACCATCGCCGGCCTCGCCTCGCAACGCCTGTTTCCGTTCCCTCTCCTTTTGTCTTCTCTTGAGCTGCTTCTCGCGGTTGAGCCGCTTCTTCTTCTCCTTGAGGTGCTCCTCTTTGGTCTGCTGCTTCGCCTGCTCCTCCTTGAGCGCCTTGGTCTTGACCCGCATCGCTATCCTCCTCCGCTTCCCCGGCCGCTTCTTCTTGCCTTCACCGGCTGCAGCCGCAGAAGATGACGAGCCGCTGACAGCAGTAGCAGTGCTAGCCTCGGGGCCGCCGCCGCCGCCGCCTCTCCTGCCCCCACCCGCCGAGATGACGATCCTGGTCACCCTCCAGGGCTTCTCGAGCCCCCAGCAGCGCTGCGTGGATCTCGCCAGGACCTCGTCGCCCGTGACCGCCGACAGCTCCCACTGCGCCCTCTGCTCCACGCTCGGCTCCGCCGCGACGTAGTGGCTCAGCGGCCGCCGGGGCACCACGAAGCCGCCGTCGCCAGACCCCCCGCCGCCGCCGGCCCGGTCGGCGGCCGTGTCGGCAGGCGCCAGCACGACCTTGGCCACGGGCGCGGGCCCGCCGCCACCGCCGGGGACCTTGGGCGCCGAGAAGAGCTTGAACTCAAAGGCCTCGTCGGCCGGCGCCGCGGCGGGCTCGCCGTCCGGCTCCCCGACCCGTGGCGCGCTGGCTTCCTCTGCTTCTTCAACGACAGCCGGGGCGACGTCAAAGGAGAGAAGCGAGGAGAGGCGCTCCTGCAGCTTCGCCTGGGCAGCAGCATCTTCTGGGCCGCCCGATTCGGATTCAGACTCGGAATCGTAGAGCTTCTCCCTCCGCACCCTGATCCGCACGCCCTGTGTTAGCCAAGCCGCTGCGGGCCCATTAATCTAGAGCGGCACGACGCACCTTTTGGCTTCTGGAAAGTCGAACATGGTCCCCCCCCGCCCTTTCCGTCGTTCCCGCTGGTGTTGCTCTCGCGCTCTGGTCCTTCACCCCCCCTCCACTGGCCGACCAGGCGCGTAGTGTAGAGTGGGCTAACGGGCGCAGAAGCAAAAAAAAAAAAACCTCAATCCGAATAGCCGCGGAATGTCCCTATTCAGTCCGGTCCCGGCCTCCGGTGTTGGGTTGGGATGGGATGGGTAGACAGGCCAGCTTCGAAGCGCGCGTCGGGACGGAGATTTCTGGCGAGCCGTCGGCTGGTTTTTTTTTTTTCGGCCTTCCTTTTTGTTGACGCACACCCCCTCACAGGCGCCCGCACAGGCTATTATTGCGCACCAGAGATGAGCCCCAAGTGGACGGCGCTTGGAGCAGCGCTGCAACGACACCACACCCACAGCTCTGTCGGGAACCACGTTGGAGCGTGGCCCGTCGGGGATAATAATGAGGAGTAGTAAGGCGCCTTGGCTATATTGTCGTGCGGCGTTCCGGGTTGTTCTGGGTCGGGTAGTGTGCCTCCCAATCTATTCACGCGGGGGAGCGGTCCAGTTCATCCATTGGGCTTTGGTTGGTTGGTTGTGCATGGGCTCCTGGAGTCGTCGATTGGATCGAGCACAAGCTCAATTCTTTCTCTGTCGCTGGGCGCTGGCCTGTGTGGCACGTGGTCTTGTCCTCTGCATGTGGGGCGCAAAGTCACCTTGGGTTGGACAGGCACAACCAGCCCCAAACGAAAGAGAGTCAACAGCGTGCAGCGTGGTTTGCCAACCTCCGTTCCATTATCATTATTATTCATGCTATCGTGCTTATGTATGATCCCTCGTTGTCTCTCTACACAGCCTCCCCAGCGCGATAGAGCCCACAAAGGGCAGACATTGCTTGGCCACACATGGCCCTTCCGCTCCTGTACAAAAGACCTCCCCGTTCAAGCCTGGGTGATGTGACTGTGCCATGCCGCCTGGGGCGCGTGTGTTTGGATTGGGAAAGATAATGGAATCGAGGCCAGGGGCGAGATGACTAGCCATACCGTGCGCCCCCTTGAACCAAGAAAGAAACAATGAAGCCACGAGGGGCCATGCCTTCGAGTGATTTGAAATAACAAAAGTTGATCAAGATGTCGGTGGAAAAAAGGGGGTATAAGAACAATAATCCGCACATGAAAAGCCTCCCACTTCCCAATCAACCATCCTCCCCCTATGCCCATAATGGCCACATCCCTTGCCGTCCCCAAGAAGACCCCCCCTCTTCCGCCATGCTGAAACAAAACAAAATGCGTCCAGGAAGACATCACTGGTATGTCCCAAATAGCCCGTATGTGTTACATCCCACAGGCCCCGATGTCCGTGGTCCTTTTGAATATTGGTTTGACTTTTTGGGTCAGGTGAAGAAGAGGTGATTGAACAGAGGATGAAAAAAAAAGTGTGCTGGTCGAAGAAGTAGGTGTGAGTCCATGGCCGGGGACCAACGTCCGAAGGACAAAAAAAGCAACGCAGGAACAATGATGAGCGCCAGATCAGAAGACTATAGGAGACATTGAAGGTGTGAAGCGGTCCGGTAAGTCGTCCAAATGAAAAAAATAAAATTTGTCGAGCAAAGAACGAAGGTGAGACGATGCGGCCGCGCACAGGTGGGGTGTAAAAAACTGATGTCGTACTACTATATTACACTCTGTCCCCGTCGTCGCATTGACCACGTTGGACAGGCAGGCGATTTGAACCGGCGGATTAGGGTCGTGAAGGCACAATTTATGTGGCGTTCCACGAGTAGTGGTTCATCCCGTCGAAGGACCCCCTTGCCGTTGCCGAGTATGGCGGCGGGGGAGGGGCGGCGTGCTGAGCCTGCGACTGGGATTCGGTCTTGAGAATGCCCGGCGATGGGCCGGGCTTGTAGTCTGGGTAGGCGTACGGCCTTGAGCTGTCGCCGTTGGCGTACGAGACGGTGGCGGGGGCCTCGCCCGCGGTCGTCGTCCACGAGGTGGTTGGCGGGAAGTAATCCCTGTTCGTCTGGTTCACGGCAGAGGCCGATGTCGGGTTCGACCCGGGCCCGCTGTGAGGGCCCGCCGACACGGTGGACGCCTGGCCGCCGGCCGCCGAGGACACGTGGGGGAGAGAGGGTGTCCCTGCGCCCGAGCCGGTGCCTCCAACGCCCGCCTGAGAATAAGGGGTGGGCGGGTGTTGGGTGTGAGGGCTGATGTCGGCGCCGTTGCTGCTGACGCTGCCGTACGGCGCGGGCGGGCCATACCTGTACTCAGGCGACGGCTCGGTGTGGGCCACGGATCCTATGGACTGGTGGCTCCCATGCCTTGGGCTCTTGGCTGGCCTCGGGTTGCTGTCGACGTAACGCGGGACGCTGAGGTTGTCGGCTGTTGTCGAGATGGAGAGCTGAGGCGGGGCTGACGTCCCTGAGGGGACGTACGCGTATTGTGTGCGGATGGGTGGCTGTTGGTGGTCTGGGGCTGCGAGCGAGAGCTGCATGGCGGGCACGGACGTTTGTTGGCCCATATCCTGTGGCTCCGTCGTGAAGCTGTTGGCTCCCGAGAGCGGGAGCTTATGCGGGTAAGAGTCGGCGGCGGACATGGTAGTCGCCGGGTAGGCCCCTTGTCCATGCGGCACATGTGTCGGGTTCCACGACGCGGGGTAGGAGCTGTTGGAAGAAAGAGGCCGTTTGGTCAGCACGGGAAGCTGGGGGAGGGAGGAAGAACCAGCGAACTGGCGGGGTTTGCGCCTACTTGGATCGCATTGTCATTGGGCTGGGTGGCATCTTGGGACCACCAGCGGTGAAGGTGAATGCGGTTCGTGGCAGGTCCATGGTGAGCGACCTCGACTTGTCCGAGGGCTTCATTGTGAGAGGCCCGGCCACAATGCCCATGCCCGTCTCCACGAGCGCCTGGCCGCGCGAGCCGGCACTCGAGCCCAACAATGGGATCTCCTTGCGCGCCTGGAAGTTGCGGGGGCTCCTGCCTCGCACCACGATGGGGGCTGTCGTCGACTCAGCCAGCACCGCCTTGTTGCCATTGGTCAGCGTGGCAATCACCTTGAGATGCAGAACAAAGTGCTGCTGCAGCTCCTTTCTCCTCCCGTTGTTCGCGGTTGCGCTATGAAAGTAGCACATGTCAGCAAGTCTGGTTTCGCAAAGCCGTTTGCCTTGCCTGCCACAACTTACATTCTGAACTGAAGGCGTCGCCACCCGATGGGGTAGACGGCACACTCTCCTGCTGATTCAGGGTGCCCCTCGTCGCCGAAGGGGATCAGCGGAAGCGAAGTCGGCTCCTGGTCGGGGCCAGGGTTGAGCTCGGGCGAGTTCGGCGGCGGGGTCTTCCAAGGGATCACGATGAGGCGGACCGAGTGGCCGTCGACGGACTCGATGGCCGAGATGGTCACCTCGGTGCTGCTGACAGGCACAGTCTCGCCCGTCTCGGTCACAACCGACAGCTGGCCCTTGGGCGTCCAGAGGGAGCCGCTGATTTGGAAAAGGTTGCGGCGGTAGCAGGTCAGCTCGGGCTGGAGGACCGAGCCGTCGGGCGAGCTCGACGGCATCTCGGACAGGAAGAACATGCCGTGAAGCTGTGCCGACATGTCGAGGACCTGGACGCGACCGTGCTGGTCGAGGATGGTGTTCTTCTCAGGCACGCGCTTGAATGACAGCAGCTTCTGGTCGTGGCTAACGCTCAGCTTGGAGCCATCATCCCGCAGGTCCTGCACCATCTCCGTGTAGGGCGCCTGCTCCGTGTGCGAGTACGGCCTCTTGAGGTTTGGGTAGCTGTGGTGCGATGTTAGGGAGTGCTGCGGGTGGGCCTGGTGATGCTGCTGTCTGTCGTATGCGTCCGCCTCCTCTTGCGAGTACCGGCTGTAAGGGTACTGGTGTGCTTCCATGCTGGGGTTTCGAGGCCGTGCCGCCGGATGGTGCTGCGCCTGTTGGTATGGAGGTGCCGCGGCGGCCGGGCTGGACATGCTGCTGGAGTCCACGCCGTGGTGGGCAAAGCGGCTCGTCTGCATGTGGACCGGGGTTGCGTAGTTGGGCGCCCACATGTTTCCGTGTGGCGGCTCCTTCAGCTCTGCCATTGTTACTGAGTATGTGGTTGACATGGGTGCATGCCTTGCGCGGCGAGCTGCTGATTCGGTTTGATGCGGCTTTCCTTCTCAGCCTCGGGGCCTGTTTCTCCTCGCTCCTCTCCCTCCAGAGAAGATGAATAGGGCTAGTGTGTGGACCACACGAAACGATAGGCCTATCTCTGTCGGTGATGGGTGTTGCTTTGCGGGCACTAGATAGTGGCGCGGTACATATACCGAGGAGCTCCCACAAAAACGAAAACAAAAAATGGTCGATACAAGTGGAGGGGCGCGGGAAACAAAACAGGTAACTGGGCAGACACCTTGTAGGTTGATCGAGAAGGGAAAGGAGAGACTGATATAATCAAAAGCGAGGGAAGACCCGTGCGGCCACAACACCTTTGTGGACTGACGAGACAGATGTCCGGAGCGGAGGAGTTGTATGCGAATGGACTCGCCGGTAAGGTTGCAGGGCCAAGTGTACTTGTATAAAAACGGCGATGGAGGGGGGAGTGGGTGGGCGGGTGTTGCGAAATGGGCTTCGGCACTATCCTCGAATGGACTGGGGAGGGGGGGGGGTGGGCCAAGAAAGGCAGACGGGCGAGCCCACTTTATTTTTTTGCTCCTCCTTGCGAGTGCAGCGGAGCAGAGCAGTTCGCTCGTGCAGGGACCAAACCAAGCTCTATCTCTTTGCCAGGGCCCAGGCCGGACAGGGGCCAGGACCAGTAACAAGGGAAGGGTGGTTGTGAGTGGGTGAGGGAGCAGCAACAGCCGGCGGCCGGGGGTCGCAGCTCTCCCAGCACTCAGAGGGCCCGCGGTCTGGTGTGCGCTGCAGCCGTACAAGGAAGGAGATTTGATTTCAACGGGGCGATCTGTGAAGTCTGTCGCGAGGGCGGGTCGAGTCCTGGGATGTGATATGGGGTCGCCGCCTTGGAGCAGCGGGATATCGCCTCACGCCGCCGCCGCCGTCTGTCGCGGAAGCGCAGCCGCGACACCTCGTCAGGTATAAAAGCGACGCGCTATAAATTAGCGGAGCGGTACCGCTCCAGTGAGCTAGCCGCGGTCAGAGGCTCGAGCGATAAACGTAAAACGTGAAACAAGACAAGACACTGTGCTGTTGGCCCCGTCTACCTATTCCCGACCAAACTCTGCCTGGTCCTCCTGCTGTTTCTGCCGCGTCCGCGTTGTATGTGCTTCGTGTTTTGCGGGGAAGGGGATTGGCAAGGGGGTGGAGTTGCTGCCAGTGCACTTGTCAGGACGCCCTCCTGAGTTAGACAAGGTGACCCGTGGTTGGTGCTGTATGTGGACTGCGAGGGCCATCCTCAGGACCGCCACGGTTCCCTTGACAAGAATCAGGCACACTCGCTATCGCTATAGCACATACGGATGTGTTGTATTACGCGCAATGTCTGTTAGGGGATGGTGTGCTTCTGCCGCATGCTGTCCGTCGGGTTTTTGGTCACCGAGATCGACTCATATATCGGCATCTTAAGATGGAGGTTGGCAACCTTTCGCGTGCGCCTGGAAAAAGCAACCCACCAGACAGTCTCGTTTTGGTGGTCACTGTGCTGGGTCGTGTGGCTGCCGCGCGGGAGCAAGGTACAGTACACAGTCGGGCAGTCCAGAAGGTGGCATCGACGGCAGGCGGGAGCGCGCGCGAGCGACATCGGTAGCAGCACGCTGTTGGGAGGATTCGCGCCGGCGTGCTAGCCCAGCGGTTCAAGAGGATGGGGCGCCTGCCGTGCGGATAGATGCCAGTACCTTTGGGGCCTTCCCTCTGCCGAAAGGAGGGTTCCAGGGGGGAGGGGAAGGTCCCCGTCTGCTGTGATGTAGTGGGCTCGCAGAGGCAGGTCACTGGCTGCGCGTGATTTTGGCCGGCTCCATTTCCCTTGCGACTTGCGTCTTCGCGACCACGGTTACGATACAGAGAAGCCAGGACAGATTGGGTCATAATCAGGGACGTGGTGGGCTGCTGTGGGGGTGGTGCGGACAGGGGGGTGGGCTCCAAGAGAGAAGGAGGACAAGGCGTTGCTGGATCGACTGACTTGGAGCGGCCGCTATGGTACGGTCTGCCATGGGCATGGCATGGTGGGAGGTATACGTGAGCGGCGATATGGGAAACATGGAGACAGACAGGTACGAAGACAGCGAACGGGGGGGTGTGCGCAGCCGGTAAGCAAAACCAGGAGGAGGAGCAGCAGGAGGAGGGGGCGTGGTGCGCAAACAGCAGGCAGGCTCCATCCACTGCCCATACTTAGCACCCAGGCTAAGTATATTTGCGGGCAACAGACCTTATTCCATCACGGCTTGCACATCAAGATATGCAAGCTATGTAATCTCGCGTGTGCACCAGGGCCCACAGCCGACAAAGCTGCCCAGCAGCGGGCAGGCAGAGGCAGGGCACTGCCTGCTGGCCAGAGAGCCGCGCCTGGCGAGGACAGCGAGGACAGTCGTGGGCGGCGAGGACAGTCGTGGGCGGCGAGCATGCTTTTCCCGACCATCATCTCCACGCCAGCCAGGAGCCCACTCGTCAACTTGTGAGCGCATTTTGTCGTCTGCTTGTTTTCTCGTGGGTTCCCCGCCGTCGCCCTGGCAGGCCTGCTTGCTAGCGCAACGGCTGTTAACCTGGTTGGCCGGCCCTGTTGTTTTTCGTCCTCGATCGCGAGGCCGGTTGCTCTCTCTCGCTCTCTCTCTCTCTCTTTTTTTCCCTCCCTCTCCTCTCCCCTCTCTCCTCTGCCCCATACCGGCCAGGGCTGCTGGTAAACACCGCACCACTCCCTAGCCCACCCCCCAGCATCCAACAAGGGCGTCTGATTTGAACGAGAAATCCTCCGACCTCTCTGCGAAAGACGTGCCCGACCCGCTGTTTTCTAGAAGGCCGTTGGACAGAGGCGCCGAGGCCGTGCTGGAAACGGCATAGTCTGGGAAATAAAAAGGAGAGGGAGGGGACGGTTGCGCAAGCAAGGCTCTCCACAGCAAAAATCGGTTCAGGAGATTGCTCACGGCCAGGGGAGGGGCGTCTGCTTCTGTGTGGGTGGACAGCCCCGCTTGTTTTTTTGGGCTCGACGGGGGTGGGGCGGGACCAGGGTCGTTGTGTGCGGATGAGACCAAGGGCTGGCAGGGGTCAGGGGTGGCGGTGGTAGTGGCCGGTCGGGAAAGCGCGTGTGGAAGGAAGGAAACAAACAGAGGGTAAGAAAAGATTGCGCAAAAGACGGCCCCGGCCTGGGAGTTGAGCTTCAGTGTCATGGCTGGGTGGAGGCCGTGGTGGAGGCGACGGCATGGGTTCGTTCCCCCTCCTCTCTTGCCCTGACCCCTGTCACCTGCGGATACGACCCATAATTGCGCCTCTGAGCGCCTCCGCCCTTGAGTAGAGCCCCACTTTTCGCTGCCGCTTTGAGCAGGCGGAATTGAGCGGCAATGCGATGAGACACACAACACCACACACACTCACTCACTCTGGCCCTATGCCTCTGCCTTTTGTCTCGGTTGACGATGGACTGCGTCAATTGGGCCGACTGACTACTGCCATCGGCGATATGGATGTGTAAGTCGCTGGGTGGAGAGCTCGCTAGGAGAGCACGTCGCCGGGCCGGGTGGCTGGGTGGAGCACGTCTGCACGCCAGCAGACCTCCTGGCAGACCTCCTCACAGACCTCATGATGATGCCGCCCGCCATCATGCCCACCCACGCCGTCCTCGCTGTCCCGCATGCCCTTAGTGTGCCGCCTACCTCGGTATAGTCTAGGCCCGGGCGGCCTGTCCTTAGGCCCGCTGGTCCTTATGACACGTCCCTGTCGCCTGCTTTTTTTCCTGCAGCAGCCAGGACAGGAAGGCGGCTGTCTCGGCGAAATTTCTACCAGCATAGGAATTCGGTGTGTAGGACGAGTCCGGTATCATCAGGGCATGCGTGCTAAGTTGTTTCCCGCATGGGAACTGCCGAGGCATGTTTCCCAGCCGTTTTGCGCCGTGACCACTCCGCCGCCCAGGAATTTCGTGAGATGTTCTATGGACGCGCTTGTAGGGTCGCCTTGTCAAGGCCGCGCTTAACTTGGCCGGTACGACATATAGCTCGTGTAATAGAATAGTGCTGGTACTATATGGTCCCTTCGGACTGTTTTCTGAGCTGTTGCCGTGAAGCGAGATTTACAGAGTCGAAACGAAATGCTGCCACCCGCTCCACCAACTGCACGGTTCCATGCGGCGCCGAGCTGCAAACTTAGTTCCACCCCAACCCGGCCCCGCCCTCTACGGATTGGCGCGGCTCGCTCCAGCGTACGGTCTGATCATGTCTTTGCTGGCTTTGCCTTGTACGCAAAGGAACAATGACGCCGAGGAAATAGGCATGATCCTCAAGGGACCCCACGGCGCACCTTCTAAAGCCGGAAGAAGCCCACAAAATGCGCATGCGTCGCAAGCGAGACCGACTCGACTCCCTGCTATCCTCTGGTAATGGCAGGACCCCAAGAAGTGCGGGCATCGATGATGTCGTCCGACTGAGGATATCTATCGGCAGTTGCAATATGCCTGTTTAGGAGGCATATTCGCGGGAAACAAAGATTTTGCTTGTGAAACGTCCCACGGCCGTGCCAACGCGCGCTGTCCCAAAGGTGGAGGTCGTTAATCGTAATCAGATCTATGACAAAAATAAGGACAAATGGGAGCATTCTAAATATATAAAGTGTACAGAAATAGACAGGTAGCACACATGAAGACGGCGGTTATGCTCACGACCTTCTCCAACGTCAAGTGTGTAGATGTGCGTCAGCGATTTCACCGCAGAGATCCCGGCGACGTCCCATACCCAACATGTTTGCCGGATGGGGCAGGCCCAGGTCGCCAACAACAGATAGCGGGACGAGAAGCTTTGGCCATGACCCGTCCCTCTAGCGCCGTTCCATCACTCAATCCTCCGCAGGTTGTACAAAACTTGTGCCTGTGCACGGCAAAGCTCCCAGTCGGTCCCTTCAGTGACCTCGCATCTGCAAGGACCACGGCGGGTTGTGGAGTTGGTCGCGTACGGCTACGCCTGGCCGCCAGAAGGTAGCACCGCATGTCCTACGTGAGGAGACATCCCTACGCCCCCCGTGGTGGAGCTCGAGATTCGGCCCTGTCCGCGATGTTGAGCTGCAGCTGTCTTGGGGACCTTCCTAGAATCGATCTTCGTCCCGTCCTCTATTCCCCCTTTTTTCCAGATCCCTTGACCCCTTTTGATGCGCTGTCAGTGTTCGTATAGTTTTCATCTGACTTCTATCTCGTCTGCTCTATTGCCTCTGGGGTTTAACCCGGCGGCTCCTTGACTGTTTTTTGGTTCGCCAATTTTCACCTCCACAATCCCCCAGGCCCCTTGCGCCTGCGGAGAGTCAGTGATACCCCTGCCTGCTAGCGTCCATTTGGCTCTCGCCTAAGTGATAACGGTACCTTGCACGGCTTGCCAGGACTGCACGGGCCATGCAAATGCCAACGGTCGTCCTGGCACGGGAGGCGTCATTGGATCGCGCGCTACGTTGCTTCCGGCTCAACCACAACGATCCCGCGCTGGCAAGATCCTACCCCTCCCATTGGGTTTCCCAGCCCATCTCCACCTTCAGACACCATAGGGGAGAAAAGCCACACACCCCTACCTGGACTAGGTTCACAAGCGTTGGGCTGGCGAGCCCGCTTGAGCTAGCTTGCTGGAAGGTTAGCAAGGAAAAAAGAAAAGAAAAAAAAACGTCCGCTCACTCAACACCAAGCACAGAGCACGTTCGAGGCTCCTGCGTGTGTTTTTCGGCTCTCATTTCCTTGTCTGGCCATGTGTTCGACGGAGAGGATGGCGTTCTTGTGGCTGGGCTAAACCTCAATTGACCTACCGAGGACAAGAGAAATAAAAATCAAGCCAGCTCGAACATCTCGCATGGGAAAAGCCGGGCAGACAATTAAACTGACACGACGCGCACCACAACGTCACGCGCGCGTCCAGGTCAAGGTGGCCTTGGTGGTCTGCGTCTGGCATGCAAGGGAACAGCAATTCCAACGAACCTGTGGCCAATGGCCGCCCACCTGGGATGCCGACCGCCCTGTGGGACCTGGCCTCACCTCAAAATCCAGAAAGAGTCTCGACTCTGGGTCCGAGGTGTTTGGTTTGGCTGGAGATCTAATGACAGGCCATTGGGAAAGGAAGGAGCACCACACAGATGACCAACGAACCGAAGGTTCCAACCTGCCACCTTGGAGGCAGGCGCAGCTACGTTGACTGCCCTCATGTCATGTTTCGAAAACTTGTAATTCTCATATGAGAGTTTCTATTTTCAAATAAAAGTATGAGAAAGGAAATGTCTTGGCGCAAGTTGCAAAACAAGACCTGCTCGGACAGCAGCACCAGCCCTGCTGCACCGCGAGGGTTACACTCGCAAGAGGATCGGGGAAAGCCCAAAGGCCGAAAGGAGCGGCGAGTTTTCAGATCGCCTCGAAAGCCCCAACCGCCTAGGACCAGGCCTCCATTCTGCCGCCAGCTCCGCCTCGAACCGTCGCCCCTCTAGAAGGCGACGCTGGAAATACGAAACGAGAGTCTCGAGCCGAAGGTTCGTTTCACATCCACTTACGGTTGGTACAATGGGTAGAGGCCACCGCTACTTTGTGGCTTCATCGCTGTCACCTCCTTCATTTGCCTAGATGCGAGAACCGTACCATCCTCAATCCCCTCAAAACTTGGCGTTATGATTTAATGTCCGTATCACGTACTACGTATAGCCTCCTCAATTCCTCCATTCCGTCCGCAGCTGCAGGCATCCTGCGACTTTGTCCAAACTAACCGCCCGAGGCTTATTTCCTGGTGGCCGAGCCGCATACCTACAAGGGCGCCCGATGCGATACACACATTTTGGTCGTGCCACAAGACGCGCTCCGGAGCGCACCGGGTGGAAGCAACCCGCTCCCAGAGGGACCAGGGGAGGACCGGAAACAGTGGAGAGGCACGCTGGGGAAACCGACGGAAACACCCAAAAGGGTGCCTCCTGGACAGCCCCCTGGCTCTCCCTGGCTCTCGCGATGTCACCTCATCCACAAAAGCGATTCCATTTGGAGCACTTCCGGAAAGAAACCGGTGTGCGGATTGGGCGGACGAGCGGGCACTTGCGGGATTGGTACGGTTGTGCCTGTGTTCACGTCGGCAGCATGTGGCCAACCGTTCGAACAGGCACCCTCAAGGCACGCTACCTACGTACCCCCGCCTGGACAAACAGCTCGCCCGGCCGGCTCCAAGCCCAAGGGTTGCACCCATCTGGATGGCTGCGGGGGAGCCCTATGGTTATCGGAGTTCAACGGCGATCTGCACGCATGTCGCCCTACGATTACAAGATAATATGCATCCGCCCGTTGCTCAGCTCGGCGGCCAGAGTCGAACGGCTTTGTGCGTCCCGCGACCTCCCCGAAGGGCGCCTCTCTTTATCGTCTTGTTGAGGTTCCCAACCAATAGCGGTTGGCCGGCGACAATATTTGGGCTGCAGACCGAAATTAGCCCCTGCTCACCCATGGCCATAAGAAGCCCGGTTTAAGAGGGCTATATGTGCTCCTGTTAATAGCCAGGAGTCACGTTAGCTCATCCTAGCCCCGGCTTTGCACTCAACCGTCGCCTCCTGTTGTGAACGCTCTGCACAGGGTGTACAGCCGTTGCATACAGATACACACTAAGCTGGTGCATCGCGTTTCTTCTTCTCTGCACACGCGCGGACGCCGACTTGACGCGCCTCGGATTGCAGGACAGGCCATCCAAGTCGCTCGCTAGTCTTTCCCATCTCGAGTCGTTGGGGTGGAGATGGACGAGGTCCGAGCTCAACATCTCGATTGGACGCCCACCCTCGTGAGGCCGGCTCCTTGTTACGCCATACGTCGTGCAGAAAACTTGCCTGACAGAGTCAGTGGAGGGCCGACGGCGACACTGACCCGCCCATGTCTCCGGATGCATCTGAAGAACCGACGGGTTTTTTTTTAATTGCGGAGGGACGGGGGACGCTGACAGAATCCACCAAAAGGTTCCACGGTGATACGATTCCCGACGTCGATGTGAAGGCAGACGGCGGCGGACCATGCTCCTAGAATATGTTGTCATCAGCTCCTTTCGCGCCGCTCGCCCGAGAAGCCCGGATAACTGTGGAGCCCGGCAGCTTCGATGTCGGCCTTTTCGCTGCTTTCACTTGATTTGCATTAATCCAAGAACTTGCCCGGGGGGGGGGGGGTCCCACGCGCCTTAGCATTCGGCGTCATTCCGAGCGAAGCCTTGTATTCTTGCTTCTCTTCTCTCCGTCCACTCGTCATGTGGCACCGGCTAGTATTCTCCGGCTGGTCGCTCACATCTTGCACAAACGGCCATCCATCCATCTAGCCCGTGCCCGCTGCCACCACCAGGTGGAGCAGTCGTCGACGAAATGGCGTCCGGGGGCTCTCAGATCCCACCTACAGGTGTCTTCACGAATCACGTCGGCAGGCTCTAGTCTAGGGTCTTACTCGTTCCCTCCAGCTATCTTGGCCCGTGCACACTGACTCCGTTGTGCTTGGCGGGGGGAGCTCGCCAAGAGCTCAGGGCTCCTCTGCCCATCAAGGGAAATAAACTCTGCACGCCCTCTCCCCGTCGCGGGCGTTTTTCTTACGATGACACCTACCTGATTGACGTACTGTGGGTTACTGTACCCTCTCTTTGCGATGGAGCAGACCCGACGTTCTAGTTCCAGATCGAGCAGCCAGGAACCGTGCCTTTTTCCTATTATGGGACGTTACGGCACCGAAAGAGATAAAACGTGGGCAGCAAGGTTCGTGCTTGATTGCAACGCTGGTTCGGGCTTTTTTTTTTTCTTTTTTCTTTTTCTTTCTTTTTTTGAAAACATGGGCGCAGCATAGCAGCCTCTTCCAAACGCGGCCGAGCAAACAGGATGAGCATAATGTGGCTCCCGTATCGCGCAAGGTGATCAATAGCAACGACGTCAAGTGTGATTAGAGGCACAGGGGGCGTACTGACGCGTCGTGTACGTGAGAGAGTGGGCACAAACAGGCGATGCGGAAGGAAAGAAGGAAAGATAGCAAGGGCGCGGCTTCTGGAAACGGTTCGAGGGCCGAAATAAGGGTTGCTGGGCGGGCATTGGCAACAGCACGGCCTGGTGGAGCCCCCTATATCGAGCTCTTTTTTATCCCACCCGTGAAGAGAGGAGAGGACCAGCGGGCGGCTGCTCCGCCGTCCTGCCACCCCCAAACTCCCGCCCTGTCGCCATTGATGCCGTCCTGGGCGAGCGAGGGTGGATTGGGGGCCGTTCGGGGATCGGCAACGCGACGTTTTTCTGTTTCTTGGAGGGGGAGTGGTTTGCGGCCGGCGCGCTCCTCGGAATACGCGCATACGGGGCAGGTAACCTACAACACACAAGCGTAATCGGCAAGACAGGTATTGGATAATTGCACAAGTATATCCAATCAAAATAGGCGCATGCTGCACAATCCTTTTCGGACTAGCACGTACCCGCTTCGGATCGTATTGCATAAGCTATCATACAATATTTGTGCCGGGCTGGCGCGGGCCACCACACCTCCTGCTTTGCCGAACGACGGATGAAGACTTGACGTTGGTGGTTGTGAGCGGGCGGGCAAGCAGCAAAAAAAAAAAAAAGAGAGAGAGAGAGAGAACCCACCCCCTCCTCCTCAACCCGCGGACCCCAACCAACCGAGCGAAAAGCTGACTGGATGAACTGACTGACTCTTCGAGGGGTGGGCAGGCTCTCCTAGGCCATGGCGGCGGGACTGGAGGACCGTGGCGGCGGGGTTTGCCGCGGCCGGGCGGGCGACGGACAATGCCTGCCATGCCCAGGCTCGCTAGGCCCAGGCCTCAGGCCTGCCAGTCCTAAGCTACCAGGCCACTTTTTTTTTGTGTTTTTTTTACTGCCTCTCACGCCTCCTGCTCTCTTCACGCCTCCCATCACTCCCCGCGTTGCTGGCCGGCCTCATTCACGTTGGATATGGCAATGATCGGCCGTTTGGCAGTCCGTGCCCTCACGCGTCTATGACGATCTCGAATGGGAAACGGGGTCATATCTCTTGGGGAGCGGCCGTTGGCATGTGGTGTTTTCTGTATTCTTCATTTTTTTTTTTTTTGAGACACATCTCCGAGCAGCGAAAAGACAGGCTCACACATGACTGGAGGGCAGGGGCCGAGAACAAAGAAAAAAAAAAGAGACTTTAGCAGGCGAGGAGAGACCACCGCCGCCCGGCCACCCGCCGCCTGCCTTTTGCCTGCCCTGTGCCTCCCCATGACGCCCTGGTCCCCCTCTCCCTCACACACACACGCCCCCCCAAGTCCACCCCATGCATATCGGCCCGAACGTCCAAGGCCGAAAAGGGTAGGTCGAGACAAGCGACCAGGCTTTCGACATGCTCCATTGCGCGAAAAGGGCCCCATCCCTGCGGCAAGGCCGTGGGCGCGTGGGTGATGGGATGGCATGGCCTCAAATGATCCATCTGACTGCATTTCATGCCACATGGACAAAAGGCCCTCCTCGCCAGCTTTTTGATGTCTCGGGGATTTGCCGGCCGTGGGAGAGCACGTGTCGCGCGGGTGGGATATCCCTTCTCCTTTTTGTTTTTGGTTGTTCTTTTTTCGGGTTTCGCCGCTTGCATTATCCAATGTTGAGATGTGATTTCATTTGAGTTCGATTGCTTAATTCGATAGCTTTGATTTTAATGTCCGGCGCTTGGGAAACGAGGAGTGAAGGGCAAAAGCGAGCAGGCACCGAAGGCCACGGCCAGACCCCATCCATCCAAGTGAACGAGCGCCTCGTCTTCCAACAGCTCCAGCTGTGACGTGGGATATCCAGGCCCGCTCTTGGTTCTATTCGCCCATCGGCCAAGGCTCGATCTTGGCTTGCTGTTTTTTTTTTAAAAAAAAAACTCATCCGATTTTTGTCCAATTATCCACTCGGATTGCTCTGTGATATTGATTTTGCAAACATCCATGATTCGTCCAACCAGCCAGGTTGGAGAGTGGGTGACACAGGCGTCGACTGGGACGAGTGTAGGGACATGCAGCTATCACAAAAAGAAAAAGAAAAAGGAACCGCACACAGGATGCCATTGCAAATGGCGGACCAGACAGGTCGACCGGGGGTTTCCTCCCGCGCGCGGCAGAGAGAGAGCAGATTTGCCCCCACCCATCCATCCCACCATCCCCAACCTTTCCATCCCCCCTCCCTCGCGAAGAAAAAAAAAGGAAAGAGACGCACTCCCACCACCGCCGGAGCGGGTTGGTAACCTACCTTTTTAGCAGACGATCCCTGCCCAATATCACATTGCCCATCCTCCCCTCCGTCTGTTTGGCCGGAGAGGGCTCGATTGGGTGGGCTCGGCTGCATGCACGTGTACGGGGAATGGTGTGGAGGGGAAGGATGGGGGAGAGAAAGGGAAAGTGGCACAAAAAGGCAAAAAGACTGCGAGGCAATGTATTTTGCATGTGGTAGGATGGAGGTGGTGGGTAGGAGTGGATCGTAGAGCGTGCTCTGTGCTTGTCCATACCTAGTGGTCCCTACCTGGATACGCATAGCACGGCAGGCAGGCAGGTAGCCAAATGTAGGTGGCGGGCGGGCGGCGAATCCGTCCGCTTCCATCGGCCCCCTCATCCCCGAGCCCACCCACCGGTCTAGTTTGTTGGTGGTGATCTCTGCCCGCGGGGGCCGCTGGGCTCATGGGGCGCCGTCATGGACAGAAATTCCCTCCATCGACTGCCGACGGCTGCACCGGACAGGACGAAGAGTCCGGGGACGGTTGCAGCCAAGCCCAGAGAGCCGAACTGGTCTGTCCTCCGGACCGGATATCGACCTTTTTTGTTGTCTGACTGGCTGCCCTCTGATTCGCCTCCCTTTCACTGTCTACCTCTACCACCTGGGTGTACATCTCACCACTCACTCCGCCACACCCGCCAGGCGGGATGGGATGTCCACTCAATCCCCATCCGCCAGGCCGTGTACTACCTGACAGGGCCTGCATGCTGACATCTCGCCTCTGCCGCGCCCTCGCTAAGAAATTGACCATATCCAACCTTTTTTTCTTTTTTGGCTGCGTCGATGAAGTCAAAATCCAATATTGGACGCAACCACGCCGCCACCGTGCCGCCATGACAAGCATGCCCCGATGCGTATTTTTTTCTTCTCTTATTCTTTATGCTTCTTGCTTTGGTGCGTGTCCGGAAAAACCTCCCCTCCCCCATCACCCCCTCGTTCGACTCCGCCCGCACTAGGGCCGGCACTGTCCACACCGGGGCCCCGTTCTTTCTTTGCCCTCCTCCGCCTTTCTGCCCACCTCTCCTTCCCGTTCCCGCCTGCAACGGTTACGCTCTCATGATCCGCCGTGACTGTAGCAGGCGGCCCAGCGCGGTGCGCATGTGTGTCTGCTTACCGAGTGGCGAGGCGAGGCAGTCCACGCTGACTGCATATCCCGTCAAAATGCATTGCCTGGCGAATCAGCCCCCGCAGATGAGACGGGAGATGATGATAGTCGCCAGTCGTGATGGCTCCTTTTCCATTGCCTTCCCCTAGTTGTTTTTATAGGTAGATGCCGTCACTGGGATTAGGCGCCGCCGTGATAGGTGCACGCTCAGACTCCACGCCGGAGAGCGCTAAGCACATGCAGAAATTTCGGAAGCAAGCTCCGTTCTGCCGTAAATGTTATACGGTTGGCAGTTGTTAGTTGAGTGCACGCAGGTAGGTGCCGCGAGGGCGGAATTATCGCTCATGTTTTTGGCTCACCCAGCCATGTAAGCGGCTCTTCTTGTATACGCGAACACCCGTTGGTGACGGTGCAGCCCACCAAGAACAAGATTTGCAGCCCATACCCAGTAGATACCATAGGTGCTGTATTGCATCCTTATCTCGATACTTTCTTGCTTGTGGCGTAGTAATAATATAGCTAACTGCTACAGTGGTATCCGACGTAGCCCGTGAGTGCGTGCCGAACCGCACCGTACCACAATGTGTGCTACATCCATTTGGCGACCCAGCTAAGAAATAGGAACAGGAGTAAAAAGAGAGAGAGAGAGAGAGAAAAAGGGGCGTTTGAAAGCCACAAAAACAACCCCTAGCAGGTTCACGGCCCTCTCGGCAGCGAATTAAGCAAGCCTACCAGATTCTCTCACAGATACCGTGGTCTTACCGCAGGAGGGGAGGAGCAGCATTAGAATAGCCTACGGAGTGTTCCCGACCCATGCGGCCTCCCGATCTCGCAAACAGGCACGATGTTATCACAAAAGGAGGCGATGCTTGTGCATGTGCACTATACGCAGTTGGGCACTCTCTGCACTATGTATCCAAGTCTAGCGGCTTACAAGCCGGTGAGACGGCAGCTCGTTGGGCCACATCTGCGCCACGGACATGCAGGCTTTCTTTTTTTTGTTGTTGTTGCTACCACCTATTGCCCCCCCGCACAATCCACGCCACAGTAAGCCCGGGAGGATGAAAGGGCGGGACCGAGGCCGAGAGTCCAGAATGGAGATCAGGTAAGACATGGTTGCAGCATCGACGGGAAGGCGGGAGGATGAGCAAAGAGGCGCACCAAGGCAGGCACAGGAGGGCAATGCTGACATGGGTGGCATTGATTACTAACTCCAGTCACCTGGTGCTGCACATGGCTGCCGGCCCATCACGCACTCCTCACGAGTCGGAATGCAGGACGAGGTGACCAGAGGGAGGGTAGGTGGAGATGACCTGCAGCAAACCGCGTCTTTGCAAGGAACTTGTGCCAGGGCGGGGCCCGCATGTTGGCTCGAGCCGGAGACGAGTTGGGAGAGGATGGGCAAGGCGGGCAGGATTTTCAACAGCAACGAGCCTGCCCATCACATCACAGGAAGGACCGCGCTACAGTCATTGGAGCGTCAATGGAGACATTAATTGCGCTCTGCCAGGAGCTGCTGCAGGATAGCAGCAACGGCCACAGCAGCACATGGTGCGTCCGTCATTCCCGACCAGATCCAATCCTTCCGAGGGAGGTGGTATTTTGGGCGAGGGTGGTGGTGACGGTGGGCCGGCGCTGGGTGGGGACAGTGGATGGAAACTTGGGCCGGATTTGGCAACGCACAGAGAAAGAGCAGTCTCGGCAGGAAGCTGTCTACCTGCCCATGCCTTGGGATTAAGAGCTGCCTCTTGCAGCTGGTCCTGCTGCATCTCGTATAAGCTCAAGTTTGGAGCGCGAAAGATCGATTGCAAACAAGACACGGGCGGGCGGAAATAGCAGCTTGTGCCGGCAAACTGTTGGGGCTGCGAATGGAGGGATGATTCTATCCCCGTTGATCGCGCCTGCCTGCCGCCTCGGCAACTCCTTCCTCTGTTGATCATAGTCTCGAGCAGGAGCGATAGGACATTCAGGTGACCTCGCACAAACCTAAGAAAGAAAACTCTTCTTCCATTACCTCTTTAGCCTGAAGGCATGGGGGCTAACGGTCCTTGCTGTCCAATCCCAACGTCCAATCCAGCCGCCCCCTGTCCAAGAGGCCCGAGAGTGCAGCTGTCTTCCTTCGCCCCTCAGCAACGTCCAACTTGCGCGCCCGGCTGCGGTGCCAGCATGGAGACTCCAGTGCTAATGCACAACTGCCGTAAACACGAGAGCCCAGCCTCGAGCTCAGCTCCTGCTGCTCGCCTCTAGCCGGCGGGGACTGACTCCCGATGCACAGGCCAGGGGTCTCCAACGTCGACTGCCCAGCCTGCCCGGCTCAATGACGGGTTCGACGCCAGTTCGGACTCGAAGACCTGCATTACGCCCGCGCCGCCGAGGACACCATTGCTGGATCCTTCGTCTGCCCTGCACTCCTCTTTTTACCCTGCCGGTCCTACTGGCGAACACGCCCTGCCGCCTCCAGCTGCTTGCTAACAACCAATCGCTCTCTGCGCGTATAGCATCGCTGTCCGAACCAGACATTCTAGCCACCAGGATGGGCACACCGTCTTGCGGCTCGCACTACGCTACACGGTATAATCAGGTCTGTCCCGCGGCGTGTGGCGTTATTATTAGCGCCCCCGGCATATGCGTTGCGCTTTATAGTCCGTGGCACTCGCCAGTGGACACCCAGCGCGGGCTAGCGGCTATTCTGAGAATACTTCCCTGGTGGGGGACGGCACGGCCTTGGGGGCTACCAAGAGTACCGGCCACTGAAGAAACAAGGAGGCCAGCAGCCCGGGTAGCGTCACCAGTCTCATCTCCCTTCCTAGCCAGCGCCATGCGCCGCTGGCTATCCCAACCGGATTGACTTCATTCCTCTCTCTGAGCCGCAGTATGCCTGAGCCTTGCTGGTCACCCACTCACCGCCCCGTCGACGCGGTCCTGCCGCCTCTCGCGGCCGCTATGTGACTCTCTTATCCGGCCCTGGTAGACGGACGATCAGAGTCGCAACAGAGCGACTGTGCTGGCCCAAAATTTCTGTGGCCAACGGACCATCCAGCCCCTCCCCCGGACAGAACAGGGAACCAAAGCCAGCCACTGGCCTGACTTGGCCAGGCGGGATGGCACCTATACTGTGCATCAGCCAGGGGGTGTGGGACAACGAGCTGGACAGGGCTCTTTCGGTGCATCGTTGGCTCGTTGGTCTGGTCAGATGGAGAACTTGGGGTGTGGGTGGCAGCAGCGGCCAGCCATCCAGGAAGCTCGACGAACACACCTCAACAACAATCGACCGCCAGCCAGTGACTCTACCAACCCAGGGAAACAGAGGCCGAAACCCCCTCGCACTTTCCTGCAGCCCGGAAAAAGGAGCGTGCTAGCGTTGCACGGGGCGAGGGGCTGCCAATGGCGTGGGCGTGAGGGGGCCGGTAGTTGTGTGTTGCAGTGCAGTACTTGTGCACAACAAGGGGCCTTCACTGGTGTGTACCTCGAGCTCACCTCTTGTGCACGAGTCGCGATGGTAGGTCTGGCGGGCCCACGTAGCAGATATCGCTGCTCGCTGCCGCATGACCACCATCAAAGACATCGACCGGGGCCCGGCTCGGACACAGAGGGGGAGAAGGAGGATGACAAGGGCAAAAATGAAGGCAGAGAGGGGTTTCCCAGAGGCCGATACCTGCAGCCAGCAGCAGCGCCGGCAGCAATCTACGGCCTCTAGGGTACCGTTCTGGGCCGGGCGGGTTATCATGGTCACCGCCTTTCATGGATCCGACCTGCCCGCTTTTCGCTTGGAATCGCACCGGAGAGCACAAGGAGAAGGAGTGTGGGACACCAAGAGATGGAGGGGGTGAGGATAGAACGAGATGGGATGGAGCCTCGTACATTATGTGCGTGAGAGGGGGCTGGCGACCCGGAAAAGTGCTGTGCTTGGTCGTGGGAGAGGGGGAGGCGACTGTGGTGGCGGCCTGCCAAGGGATGGCAAGGTCTATCCCAGCGCGCTCCTCCCCGAACGAAACCACGCGCGTGACAGCACATGGAAGTACCGCTACAACCCTGTAGCCAGCAACCCCGACGCCGACTGCTGCCCTCGGGACAATACAGCAGACAGCCATCTATCGGGCTGGTCCGATGGCTGGCCCGGCGCGAACAGATCAGTCGACATCGAGAGACACGGCACATATCTGCTTAGCGTCCCTGGGGGGAACTGGGCTAAGCCCTAGGCAGGTGCTCCTCACTGGCCCGTCTGGTGGAAGGGTAGACTGGGCCGCCGGGGACCGGAGCAGCCATCCGCCGTCTACCATGCAAGCCCTGCCGCACATATCGGAGTGTCGGTCCTAGGGTGACGGCGGCTATGGTTGTGTCCTCTGCTTCTCTCACTTCTCCTCGCACAGCACTGGGATGTGTCCGGAGCATGGCCTGCCGGGGAACAGACAGCGGCGGTGGAGATACGAGTCGGACCATGGATAGTGCTTGGCCAGTCCACCATCCATCCAGCTACTCCTGTGGTAGGAGCTGGCGGTGGCACAGTGGGCACAGCACGCAAGGCGGGCTGTCGTCAAGCCCCTCTGCAGCTCCTCCGTAGCGTTTTGGCTGTCAGCCAACTTGCTCGTCCTGGGCATGCAGAAAAGTGGCGCCCAGGCCAGTGAGAGGGAATTTTGGTGCAGCGATCACAACCACGACAGGAAGCCATCGCCTAGCAAGCCTGAACTGTGTGGTTCACAGCCCTAGACAAGCCAGAGACAACAGGGTCTGGTGAACACAAAGGACGAAGATTTGGGGACAAGACCCGCCCGCCTGTGGCCACTCTTCCGGGCAGCCTCTGTGGACTTGGCAACCGCCGTGGTTTGGTACTGTGCCTCTCTGCCTCTCCTTGTCTCTGCCCGAAGCGCGTGCGAGCCAGAGGGGTGGAGGGGCGTGAATGTCACCGAACCGGTCCTGGGCACCGCACAGTCGACACGCCCCCCTGGAGGATTGCCGACTCCACCGCCAGTACCACTTTCCAAGCACCACCGTTGAACAGGGGCCACCCAGCGCCCTCCGCTTCTGTTTGGTGGCGTCGTCAACTTTGTTGGCCCCCCGGACCAAGAGATGTGGACAATGGGCGGGTCCCATCAGCAAAGCCCAAGGTGCCGTTGAATTTGCCGGTCAACTGGAGTGGCCCGGGCGGCGAGGCCATGGAGCGGCAGCCATTCCCAGAGCCGTCTCGCCGTCGCTCATGCTTTCTTTCGAGGCCTTGTTATCTCTGCCATGGCTGCTGGATAAAGCACATGAAGTTACTGCGGATGTGGCATCGGGAGGGATGCAAGATGTGCGAGTCTGTGCCAGCGCTGTACCGGTCGCATTGCCCGCCCTGCCATGGTAGCAATGTACTGCACTGGCGACATTGTAGGTGCCTGCAGGCGACTTGGGTGATCCCATTGTCGGTAGGGACAGGGGGCATGTCCGCGGTGGCCGTCCTCCCCAGGCCTCACTAAGCCCATTCAGGGCCTTGGTATCAACGGAACAGCGGCAACCGAGGTGCTTGCCCCCGAAGGGGGGTTGCTTTCTTCACAGATAACCGATCCATGGATACATGGATATGGCCTGCTGGGGTCCGTTTTTGGACAGAAGGCCTGCAATGGACCAGCGGCAGCGCCGCTGCACCCACTGGCCCCCCCTCCATATCTGGGGAGGATCAACAAGGACGGACGGGTGGAGAGCTTTTGGTACCCAACGTAACGCGTATACAAGGAAGCAAGCATGGTTGGTATGGCCCAACTGCCGGACGGTGTTCTGGCTCAGGGCGACTTGGTGAGAAAAGAACAAGGCCTCACTAGAGACGCGCCATCCAGGTAAAAGACGGAGCTTATTCTGTACTTGTAAGGATAGGGACAGCAGTGCGTTGCGGCTCTTGTCGGTGGGGGAAGGATCATCCCCCTGAGCACGGGGGGTGCTCGGAGCATTTACTTTCTTCATCCATTTATCCTCTGCATGTGGAGCGGCAACAGGCAAGGCTCTCGATTCCCGAGCGGATTGCTGGAGATGGGCACGGGCCTCCTGTGACTGCTTGCCTGTCGCTTTCCCTCTCTCGGGCTGGCCTTGATGGAACGGGAAACCCCAGTTTCTTGGGGCGAGGCCGATGATTAGCTATGCAAAGCCCGATCGGGAAGTGTGGGCCCGGAACAGCCAGAGGAAGTCATCAAAGTTGCCAGGCAGGGCGAAAGGGAAGGGGGCGGCGGAGTAAACAAGATGGCTAAGCTTCAATCATTCTTTTTTCCCTTTTATTTTTTTATTTATTTCTTTCTCCTGTCTCGTATTACGTCTGGTATCGGGATCTTTGCTATGCACTGTACCCTGTACCCTGTACCGATAATTGCTGCTCCCTTGTGCCTGTCGGTCTGGCTTTGTTGCTGGTAGGTCTGTGTCTTTTAGTCCTTCCACCAAGTGGACCGTGTGTCGAACAACTTGGCGTCCAAGTGTCTTGAACAAGAGAGAGTCAAGGCGCGCGTCGTCGCTATGGCCCTGAGGTATGTTCGCCACGAGATCTCAACGGCGCGCGGATGGGCGACGGGGGTAAGGTACCTGGGCTACCTGCGTGTCTTGCCTGGCTCCCCAGGCCCCGCGGGACCACAGGTCAGCTGTGTTTGGTTCCCTGTATCAATCTGGCCGGCCTGCTACGGTACGGGACTGCTATACCCGGATCAAGATTGATAGGATACGTAACGAGGAAAGCAGACGAGAACGGCCTATTTGTCACACACACAGCCCATGGAACGATTGAGAGAACACATCACACACCCACTCCGGGCTATTATCGCTACCCCTTCTTCTGTTTTTTTCTTCTTTCCTTCCTTCATTTCTTTCTTTTTTTCTTTCTCGCCTCATCTTACCTTAAAAAAAAACCCCCCCCCAGCTTTTCACCAGCATTCTGCGGATCAAACGGTGCGCAGTCAAAGCCGGAGAAGGGAGAGAAAAAAAAGCTCCGCCCTTGGGTGGGTTTCCGTAATTTCTTGGGGCGACATTGAAAAAGCGTCAATTTCGATAAAATCCCCGAAAAGAAGGAGAGAAGAACCGAAGGCATGAACAAAGCAAAGAAACAAAAAGAAAGAAAAGAAAAGGGGAACAAAAAACGCCCGTCGCACAGACGCGTGCCTGACAGGCGCCAACCGATCGTCTGCTCTCCATCTCGAGCTTCCCAGTTTCCTAACTGGGACGACCTCATGCCGTTTCGGGCACGCGTTGTCGGGTTCCTCCCTCTATCTAGCTTTCTCGGTTGGACGCGAGTAGCATCGACCTTGACCTTGGCCCACCATTTTGCGCGTGTTTTTGCTGCAACCTCGACGCCACGCCCCTTGTATCGTAGGCAACCTTGGGCGAGAGTTGTGGGGAGGCGTGGTTTGAGTAAACAAAACACCTCGTATTTTTTTTTTTTGGTTTGGTCGCCATGATGGGAATCAAAAAAGGAAAGTCAGAAACGAAACGCGAAACTGCAAATCTGCGAATGCGAAGAAACCGACCGAGGAAACCAAACATTCCGTGGAGTTGCGCACAGGCGTATTAGCACCGCGCATACCATGCACACCACCACCACCAACACCGCATCCTCTTTTTTCCCATCTTCCCCCCTCCCTATCGGGCGCTTTTCTCTTTAGGCAGTCCGGGAGGCACATCGTCACCAGAGGCGGCGGGAGATCGCCCCGATGCAGACGCCTCCGCCGTAAGGGAAGAAAAAGAAAAAAACGCAAGAAAAAAGGGCCAAGCTATCCATCTCCGCTGTCGATTCCCGCGTGCCGCCTTGCCGGCCTCATCCCTTCATACTCCCCCCTCGTGACAATGCGTCCTACAAGCATCAAGCATACATCCTATTCCGGAAGGGGCGTGTGCGTGTGCGCGTGTCAGTTTTGTCTGTTCCTGTCACTGGCCTGACTGCTCTTGGCAATATCACGGTAGTCTTCCGAAGCGCTTTGACGCAGCTGGCCTCGGTGGGACATTACAGTGGCAAAGGTGGGAGGATGCGAGGAGGGGCCATGGTATGACGAGCTTCGCCTTCTTCGATGCGATGCTCCCTAGAAAGGAAGGGGGGTCCCCGGGGGAGGGAGAGAGAGATATCCCAAAGAGGAAGAAAGAGTCCCTCGCGAATGGAGACATGGGACGAAGACGGCCCGGTCCGTCTGTGCTCACGATGCTTTTTTTCCGTCATGGGGACAAACGAACTCCCCCAAGCACATGCACGCGGTCCGAACGCCTTGCGCCCTCCGTGGAGACTCCAATGTCAAGGCGCCATGGTCGCGATTCCGGGGACTTTTTGAGATGACAGCTGACAGTTGGCAGGTCTTGCCAAAACCTTCAAAGTCGTATTTTGAGACGAGGCTTCCATTCGAGAAGTTTCAGCTAGTTGTCGTGCCTACGCCTGGTTTTAGGCATGTGCGCGCGCGCGTCCTCTGTAGTATCGTGTACCGTATTGGGTATGGATATCATCGCTGTTCTAGGTAAATCACTGCTTCTCACCGCCGCACCTGCAGCGGTCCACCCGTCATGGAATCCAAAACACCATCTCCTCCTCGTCATCGCTGTCCGATTCGACCAGGTCTTCCTGGTCGTTCAGTGCCATCTGCACAAATCTACAACGTGTCTTTGGTTAGCCTCGCCGTACTCCACACAAGTGGTACACACCTGCAGCATCAAGGTGCATATCCGTGCCTAAACTGTCGGGGCAAAACGGGCGCAAAACGGGCGCGTGTTTGTCCATGTAGACCGAAGAGGAAAGCTCGGAAAGCCTGCACTAGCAGACCATGTAATTTCGTGCCTAAGTGGTAAAAGGCAAAGAATGTGACGTAATCGGGATGTGATACGACGGAACGGACGAAAAGGGGGGATGGGGAGGCCTACTGTCGGACCCAGGCTCGCTGGGCTTCGTTAAGCTGGGCTTCGGCTAGGTCTTCGTCGCCGTCTTCGTCTGGCTCAGGAGCTCTCCGGCCGCCAGCAGCAGCAGGAGCTGCCCCGGCAGGTGCCCCTCGTGGTGCTCGACCTCCGCGCCCTCTGCCTGCAGCAGCGTTGTTCCGTGCTGGCCCTGCATCGCGATGCTGCTGGTTCGGGCCTTGGTTCCCTCGTCCTCTCCTAGCGTTCTGACCATCGCGCCCCGCACGTCCGGCTCCTCGCCCTCGTGCGTTTTGCTGTCTCCCTCCGGCGGCCTCGACAGGCGGTGGCATAGGAACCGCAGGGGGGGCGGGAGGATCGACGTCGATCCGAAGGACCAAGGGAGCCTCCAAGGCCACTCCCCTCCGAACGCCGTCCTCGTTGTTGTTATTATTGGGCGGCGCATGTCCTCTGTTGGGGCCTTGATGGGCCTCGGCCACCGCGCCGTCCCTGGGTTCGCCATGGTCGTCGACCTCTTCTATCTCGGGGATAAGTAGTGCCGGGTCTAGCTCCGGCTCAAAGACGTCAACCACTGCCGGGGCAGGCCGTCGACCGGCGGCTCCTCCAGCGAATCGTAGGTCGACGTCATCGCCGTCTCCTTCCTCGAGCTCCCAGAGCCGCCCGAAGCACCCCGTGATCCTTCCGCCGGGTTGTTGATTATAATGCGAGTACGGATTGGTTGGGTCAAGCCATGCCGAGCATAGGTAGCAAAAATGAGTCTCGCAGCCCTGCCGGCCGCAGATCATGTGGTTGCAGCCCTGCGTCTTCTGTGCTGGCGCGGCGCAGGTAGGGCACGGGGTCGTGTGTAGGTTCATGTACTCGAGCGAGGCCTTCTCCTCGGCCGAGAGCTCCTCCTTTTCACGTCTTGCGGTGCACCAGAAGAACTCTCCGTGCCACGAGAGGTAGCAGCGGCTGCAGAAGGCAAAGTCACAATCCTCGCATATCGCCAGGAGGTCTTCTGTCTTGTTGTAGGCCACAGCTTTCTCAGCTGTCTTTGATGAACCCTGAGCGTTCGTACCGTCCGCTTCGTCACCAGACTCGTCTGAGCCCTCGGAGAACTCAAGACCTTCGGGCTTCCGATGCCTCTTGGATCTGGCTGCTCCGTTGCACCAGGACCTAGGGCAATAGACCGTGTTTTTATCCGACTCGAGCTCTGACTTGTACTTGAGCGTGACGTAGCGTTTTACAACATCGTGATCGAGAGGAATCTGCAGCAGCTCGCTGGGACTGACGAGCTTTGGCTTCTTTCTCTTTTTGATGCCCGCAGCCGCAGCCAAGGCCTCGCGCTCCTTGGCGCAGTTGGGGGAAAGACAGCGGACAGAGGAGATGTCGCCCTCTTTTATCGCATTGTTGTAAAAGTCTTGCAAGCACGCGCTGCAAAAGACATGGCCACAGTCCAGCATGCGGTGGCAGACCGACCCCTTCTTCGGGTCGAGGCAGACGCCGCAGTCAAACGTTTCGCGCTCGAAGGCAGCGCGTTTGGCGGATATGTCATAGTCTAATATGGCAATCTTGTGCTGCAGGTCGACACTCAGGGTCCCCTCATCATCAGCCACGCCAAAGGCATTCTCGGCGAGCTGCTGGATGCAGTCGATGTAGGCGAACACAACCGAGTCCCGCCCCAGCTCTTCCCAGAGGTTGGCACACTCTGCCACGAGCTCCTCGACCCGGGGAGTTGGGATCCACGACGGCACGGCACCGAGCTCAACTCTGGGTGGCAGCTCCGCTGGATATGAATCCGGGAGAGAAATCCGAAGTCGAACCGAAGGCAGATAGGAAAGCTCGTGCGAGTCCTCACGAACAGGCTCGCCAATTGCATTCCCGTTGGTGTTATCCCTAGGCTGGGCAGGCGGTTGGCCCGGCTCCATGTCCGGAACTGTGGCTGCCACCGGCGCGGGGAAAAAGACCTTGACGGGCTGTGCAGGCTTCACGGGCAACTCCAGAAAGAAGGCGCGGACATCGGCCGGATCAGGTTCAATTTCGGGGTAAATGGCAGACAAGGAGCTGAGCTCGATATCGCGGGGGTCATCCGAGTCTGCCAAGGACTCGAATGCCATGGTAAAGCCTAGTTGAACCTTGCGGCTTTCAACAGCGTCGTCGATGAACGGCTCCTTGGTGGTTTTGTGTTTTGGTGGGAGCGGTCGGGCAAGAGTTGGCGTGATGCTATGAGGCTGACCAGTGTTCCATAGCATGCAACAACTGCCAGTACTGGGTGCTGTTGGAGCGCGATGCCATGTGCTGTAACAACCCCAGCTGGGCGGGATAGCGGCCGAGATAGATAGCACGAGCCTTGTACAAGTCCTTGGTTTGGTTACAGTGCGCCTCGCAGGCGACAGAGCTCATGGCCGGGGCCGTTCAGTCTCTTTGGGGTGTTGCTTGACGCCTTTTTCTTGTGATTCGACAGCAATGAGGCAAAACACTGACATTATCCGCGAAAGCAGCCCTTACAGAAGAAGAATAAAGAAGCCCCTGGAAAGAGCCTGACAATAATGTTCTCTTTTTTTTTCGGTAGTGGTCGGATGACCAAGGTTCTGCCTCGCTCGAAACAGGAGGCGATTTTTCCGCAAAAGCGTCAGTCATCTGGCCTGTGGTTTGACAGTCGACGTTGGTGACAGGCCCCACACCCCACCTGAAGCATGAGGCGCTGCTGCCGTTCCATTGGCCGAAATTCTTGACATCGCAGCCAGCAGCCAATGAGTTCCAGCCACCTCCACAAATCCGCCCCAGGCTGGAGGGGACAGCTTTTGGTGGTCCAGACCAGCTGCAGCAGCGCAGCCAACACGCGTCCAGCGCTGTCGGGAGCTCGCAGCTGCTGATGCCGATCGGCAAAACCCTGAGGGAGGGATGCAACACAGCTTGGTTGCTTTGGCAATCACATTGAAAGCTGCCAAACATGAACACAAGCTGCTCGTAGCGACCACGTTGTTCCAACTAGCGCTGCCGGCCCCTGCAGCTGCATTCTTGAACTTGTCGAGACTGCCCTTGTCCTTGCCCTACCTTCTGGCTGGCTGACTTATTCCAGCTACCATGAGCGCTAGCACGCTGGGCCACGTCCAGCCAGCAGCGTCGCCCGCCCGCCTGATTCACCCCATCCGCATCCACACGCCCACCTGGACCCCACCTTTGCCGCGATGAACTCGCTGTGGCCGTCGCGTGGAGGATCTGGAAACGACGCCCAAGGGGCTGCCACGGACAAGAAACCGGTAGCAGGAACGTCCGGTGATATCGACGGCTCCGACGTGGCGGCAAGCCAGTCAACCGCCTCCTCGGACCCCAGCAAGAAGCCCTCTCCCTCTCCGTCCTCGACCGTGCGCCCTCCCCTCGTGCGCAACCAGCTCTCGCAGCCGCCGCCCGCCGTCCCGCCTCCGCCCTCACAGCCGCCCCCTCCTCCGGGCCAGATGGCTGCCCAGCAGCCCCCCGACTCGCTGTCGCTGGCGCAGCTCCGCCGCTTCGTCGCCGAGTTCCCCCACCCCGAGCCGCTCGCCTACGACTTCGTCTACGAGGACTTTGGCCCGCCAGAGGAGGAGATCGACGAGTGGTTCGTCTACCAGTTATGGCAGGTGGTGCGCCTAAGGTCTGCCCGGATGAACTTCGACTGGCAGTGGCAGCAAGACTTTGGAGACAGCACCGGCTGGGACAATGCCACGCCCCACCAGCGCGCCAAGTTTCTCCAGGACGCCCTCGAAGCATTCTCCGCCACCGACACCCAGGACCGCTCCAAGGCCATAGGCAGGGTCGTCTATGCCGTGCTCGGCAGGTGGAAAGATACGGCCGGCGGGGCGACGGCCGCCGAAGGCCGTGATGCCAAGGCCAAGTCGGCCGTGACGGACAGTCACCTAGCGGCCATGAAGGACGCCATCAGGCTGCTCGTCGAGATCGACGGCCTGAGGACGGTGTGGGATTCGCTGCAGCAGGTATTTGAGCAGTTCTGGTCAGTTATAGCCCGTCACCAGTCCGCTTTTATCATACACCTGACTAACCTGGCGCAATCCAGGGGAGATGATCTCCAACTGCAGCCCAACATCCTCTTGGAGGCACAGATCAATCTTATGAACCTGATGACCATTATGTACATGACCTTGCAGATGCTGCTTAGCTACCCCTCAGAGATGTCTCATGTCCGACCAAAGCTCCGTATGTGCATCCCTTGTCACACCTCACGCCCGTCACTTCACCTGCTGACTGTGCCGAGCCTCGCATGGGCCACCGTTCCCCCACAGTCGAACTTAATCCTAATATCGTCGGCTTTATGCTTGTTGCTACGGCCAAGCTGCGGTGGGATGATATGCAGTACATGCCACAGACCCAAGTGTTTCTCCTATTTTGGAAAACGATACTGCTAGTCTTTGGAGGCACCCCAGAGATCGTTGAGACCAAGCGGGCAACATGCGAGACAGGGGATGACGACAAGGAGAAGAACATCATCACAGCCTCCCCGCTCGACTACCATGCTTTCCGTCAGGAAATCACGTCCAAGTATCCAGCATACGTTCCGCCCCGGACGGCCATCCCGATAGAGGCCGACAACACATCCTTGTTACCGCCTCTGCCGCATCAACCAACTAGGAATAATGGATCCAACGGCATCCTACCGGGTCCCCCCAATGCGCAGGCTAGTGGTGCTTCGATTCTGCACCAGCCAGTACATATCGCCACGCCAGCGCCGTCACCCCCGCCGTCACCAGGCGTTGGCGGGAAGGGCGGCAAGAAGCAAAACTACCAGACCAACCAGAACTTCCCCTTTATGTACCCGCCCCTGGACGCCACCAGCAATAGCGCAGGTGGCAAGGGCATTGCCGGCCTACAGGATCTCCTTGTCGGACGCAAATGGGAAGGAAGCGACATACCCGCATCCATCCTCGAGGCCGGCGAACTCTTCTCCAGGCGTGTGCGGATGACGCGGGCGACCAGGCAGCTCTGGGACGAGAGGGAAAGATTTATAAAGTACTCGAGGGGCTGGGACGACGATAACAAGGACATTGTCGACGAGCTCGATCTCTCGGGCCTGAGTTTGAGCGAGAAGGAGGAGCTGGGGCTTTTGAAGTCCGAGAATTCAGATTCCAAAGAGCAATGTCCGCCCGATCATGAAGTCGACTATGGCCCTAACCCGGAAAAGCTCCCGAAGGAGGTCCGAGAACGGTTAGAGGCCCTGGAGAAATTCTATGTGAGTTGCCGTGCTTCACCCTTACCGAATAGCCTTTCATGCCTTGGTGAATGCTTTTCTTCCCTCACCATCCACCATGGCTAACACCAGAATCACAGGACGAGGCTCTACCAAATCTCCAGTCCCTAGTCATCATTCTTCACAAAACCATCATGCAGCACGTCTCAGTTCTCGCTTCAACACCACCCCAAGGTCAGCAACAGGCATGCACCGCTCCGAATGGCCCCAGGCCCGTCAACGGCGTGGGCCCCGGTCGGGGTGCCGACGCGTCCAATGGCCCAAACACGTCCCCAGCAGGGGATGGGTCAACAGCCTCGGATGAGGAGATCGATGGCAACCGAAACCGGGAGATCACTGCCAAAGCCGTGTCCGGGATTCTTGTCCTTCTACTGAAGTGGCTGAAGCTTTCCCGTAAGTTCCATTCATCAGAGCATCAATAGGCGAGAACCCACTGACCAAGCGCACGGAAGATATTCTCAAATTCGAGTTCCTTGGGCAACTCCTGCTGGATTCGAACTATCTCCTCCTTGTTTTGAAGCTATTTGCACACCAGGATATCCAACAGACGGTGGACAGCAAAACCGACGTTATTGAGAAGAGGTAGAATGCCTGGTTCTCTGCCTTCTTCCACTGTCCCTGATAAATCTTACGGCTCACTGACCAACTACGCCTAGCTTTTTTTACTGGTGCAATCACGAGGCTGATTTTCTGGCAAATCCCGTCAATGGAGAGGAAAACGACGAGAGCGAGGACGACGCTTTGCCACCACCAATAAAGAGGCGCCGTTCACCCACGCAGGAGGCCAACGACTCTGGAGATTCCAACGGCGACTCGGGGCAGGCGCAGACTGGGCACCCGACTCGACCCGAGGTGGACGAGCTGGGCTGCCCCGTGAACGCACTACCCAACGAGCCGATCACGGACTTTTCGCGGCGAAACTTCTTCTCGCTCATCAACTTCCTGCGGGTTATGCAAAAGGTGTGCAAGGCTAAGGCGCACCGGAACCTGCTGCTGGTGCACTACAAGTCGTCCAACATCCTGCGCAAGTCGCTCAAGGTGCCGCAGCCAGAGCTGCGGCTGTACACGCTCAAGCTGTTCAAGAACCAGGTGCCCTACTGCGGGCGCAAGTGGCGGCAGGGTAACATGCGCGTCATCACGGCCGTCTACCTGCACTGCCGGCCCGAGCTGCGCGACGAGTGGCTGGCCGGGTCCGACATCGACGCCGAGGTAGAGGAGGCGCTCCCACTCGAGCAGGCCCTGCGCAGCCTCACCCACTGGTTCAACGTCCGCCGCTACCCGGACCGCATGGGGCCCGACTCGACCGCCACCCTGCGCGAGGGCCACGACTTCTTCGCGAGGGAGCTCGAGCGCGCAGACCTACAGTGGGCCGGCGACCTCGCCGACGACGGCTCATCGCTGAGCGAGTGGGAGGGCATTCCTCCGTCCTAGAGAGAGCTGTCTAGATGGCGTGTTCCGTTGGGGTTTTTTTTTTTTTTGCGTGTCGTGTTTTCCCCCGCTTCTTCTTTGGCTCATCTTGTTGTGCTGGTAGATACGATTTCCGATAGACAAGATTCCCATCCGTCATTTGCTCAGAGCATGCTTCACTTGCTCAATGATCTGACGACGATAATAATACACGTGATCATCACAATGCTCCATATCTGCAAGTTCCTTTGGCTCAAGGGATCAAACATGCGCAACCGTCTATATCAAACGATCCATATTTATACATAGGTGGGTATATAACACCCAGATGGCCTGGATTCAAACCATGGATTCATAACCCAAACGCCAACAGTGCCCGTGGTGCCGCATATAATACATGTGAGGAGCCTCGGTGCAAATTATCATAAA